GAGAGAGACGCAGCACACATATCCACATGCTCCAAGGACCTCGCATATCCACATGCTCCAAGGACCTCGCATATCCACATGCTCCAAGGATCTATTTGGAACAAGAAGCAGGGGACCCATGCAGCACCCGCTCTTACTAGAGGGTATGGTGACCCTTCAGCAAGGGAGTCCAGGAGGGAGTCCAGTTCTTCCCCAATGATGTCCCCATCTGTGAAGTCCTCCACGCTTTCAGGCACTGGCAGGGACACACAGTCTGGAGACGGGAGCAGGCTGGCAGCAGGGAGCGAGGTAGGCAAGGCCTTTGCATCTGAGTCAGAGGGCAAAGGGGCCAGCCCCTCGCTCACAGGGATGGAGGTGGCCACAGGAGCTGGGAGGCACTGCAGGTCCATAAAGCAATCTGTGATGAGGGAGAAACAGAGTCGGTCACCCCAGAGAGCCTCTTGCAGGGGGCAAGCAGAGCACAGCCTGGCAAAAACAATATTGTACAACTCCATCAAATCACAAAACCCAAGTATGACAGTTTTCCGAAACGAGGGGCTCTGGTCTGAAGAGTTCTTGTCCTTTCATTTTTGTTCCCAGTCTCCAACGGCTCACCGATAGCTGAAAGATGCTCTAAGGGCCAGTGCCCAGACTGACTGTCAGGATTTGGCAAGCAGGTACAGTAACCAGGAACACCACAAAACCCGTGGCTGAGCAGTTACTGAATTCACTGTGGCTAGGACTAAAGGCCAGGGGCACATAATCCAATTTCTCTATAACCCACTACCTGGTGTTTTCTTTAATATTCCTCACTAATGCATCTGGCAGAGATCACTGCCTTCTCTACTCCTTGGAGCTTCGATAAGCTGAGAGCTTGCTTACTCACACACCCTCTCTAAAACCTCAGGCATCCTAAATGGCAGAAGATAAAAAACACAAGGTCCTGCTGGGAAGAGAGGCAGAGATCTGGTGCTCAGACCAGGGTGCGCTAACAATTTGTCCCCCAAAAACCCCATCAGACTCACTCAGCTTCTTTCCCCAAGTAAATTCCCTGCTCTCGAGTGCTTCCTGATGTCTGCAGGCGGGAGGTTGCTGCCCACACTCCCCCTCAACACCTCAGCAGCAAGCATCCCCTTGGGAATTTGTGTGAGCTAAGGTCGGGCAGGAAAGAGGCAGGGATTTTCCCTAAGGCTCCCTTGCCTCTCCAGTACATTACTGAAACAGTAAGACGTTGCCATCATGCAATATAAACCTCTGTTAAGTGAAGTTAAGGTTATAAGCACATATTCTTCACCAAACAGCATTTTATTCTCAAAAAAATTAAAGGTTAAAGAAAAAAGTTCAAAAGTTAGAAATCTGGAAAACGCAGCGTTACATTTGCAGTTCTCAAACCAAGCACCCAAACTACCTTAATTCTGCCCCTGTGCAGATGTCCTGGAATAAAAGAAAAGCAGTAAGACAAAGATGCTACCTTCTCCATCCCCATAGCAGTGACTGCACCGTAGCTACAACAGTCTAAGGCCATAAAGCGAGGCAAGTTTGGAAGGAGAGACAATAGCTTTTATTAGAAAGACTGGTAAGAACAGGAAAGAAACGAGACAAGCTTCTGAGACACAAATCTTGATCCAGTGAGAAATGCTGCACCGTGTCTGTACCAGCTCTGCTCACTCAGCCCCCAGGAGAACTCAGCCATCCCCTTCTAACTGAGACGGGGTGAGTGAGCCGTGTTGCTATCTTCTACACCGCACGTTCGCTGACCAAGGACTGTGTTGATGCCCTTCTTAGAGAGCTCGGCAAATCAGCAATTCCTGTAACCCATCAAGTCCTGAACAAAAGAACAGCAGAGACGACACACGCATACACGCGCAGACCCCTTTATCTCTAACCCCACCAGGAGCACACCACCACCCCCTGCAACCTTTCCTCCAGCGTTTGTCGTGAGTGGTTCACATGGATGGACCACAGCCGAGGTCGCTGTGCGAGGCACCGGACACCAAGCCGTGACAAAAGGCAGGGAAAGGAGAGGGAAGCGGCATGGGACACACATCCATCCCTCTCCACAACCTCACGCACGCCATCAAAGGAAAGTGCATGTTGTACCTTATGGGATCCAACACAGGTTTTCAGTGCTGCGGCTGGGTACGTTCCCCACAGGCAGTGGCTCAAAGGAAGGCTGTAAACATCTTAGTTTTGCAGCTGCCCCTCAGATCAGGCTCGCTCCAACCCCATGCCCCCTTTGCGATGACTTCTCTCAGCTCATCTCCCTTTGCTCCGGGCCCCCCAATCGCACTTGGGAGCCAGCCACCCAGCTTCCCTCGGCGCTGGCCTCATCGCTGGTAGCTCAGCCAGATTTCCCTCAATCCAAAGGGACGGTTTGTGCCTTCCCGTTTTTCAGATGTTTAAATCTGGAGTACTGTCAAGATCCCTCCAGGGGCCAACAACAAGTTCAGGACACGCTGGAAGGGCTGGGGACACGCGCAGGGAGGAGCAAAAGGGTTGACAGTGACAGTGCCCCAAAGAACCCAGAAGTTCAGACCTTCTTTGAGGAATAAACGAGGCTCTCCAGTTCCCACTCAGACTGGGAAGCGGAGGAAAAAGGCCCTCGCACACCCCAAGAGGCCCAAACCCCTGAAAAGCTGAACGCATGACCAAAAGGCAAAGAATGAAACAGGGTCCTCCACAGCTCAGAACATGTGAAGGGCAAGGAGAAGAGCAGGGACCAACAGGTTCCACTACCTGCAAGGGGCAGGGGGAGATGTCTGCTCCCCTCTCCCTGACCATCCAAACCTTGTCATTCCTTCAGCCGCTTCCTCCCATTCCTCTCTGTCCAATCTTTTCCCCTCTCCCTCCTTTCCCATTCCCGCTTTCCTCAGGACACCCCATCTGCTGACCTCACTCACCGGCCACCATCCCCATCTCATGTACTCTCCTTCCAGAGAGCTCTGCACCTCCTGCATTCACCGAACGTTTGCTCCATCTTAAAAAAAAATAAAGCAGCTGCCTTTGATGAGAGGACGCCAGGCACACACCTCCCTCCCTCCGATTTCTGCCACCGCCACGACACTAAGCCCCACGTATTATTATTATTATTACAAGCTCAATGAGGGTCTTCTCCATCGGCTCCCCAAACCAAGTTTCTCATACCATGCCGCCCACCTGGGAGCTCCTCTGGCCATACACCGGCCTGTCCCAGAGGGGCAAGCACAGTGCTGTTAAAAGCCCTGTTTGCAGCTTCGCTTCCCCAAACAGCAGTGGTTCCCTAGTGCATTCAGCTGGCCAAAGGCCACGCTGAGCCAGATCTGAGCCACGACCCGTGCAGGGCAGAGCCGAGTTAATCAGATGACTTCAAGCAAAGCACGGGGAAAGCCTGCATCTTAAAAACAAAACAAAACAACAACAACAAAATCCTTGCTAAAAAAGCTTTGAATCTGAAACTCTTGAGGTGCGCAGCACCCACATCCCTCCTGGTGGCACACCGCTCTCAGGGCGATGGGATAACATGTCCTTTTAGTGCTTTTGAAAAGATTTCATAGCAGGAAAGGTTCTCTCCGCCTGAACTGCAGCAAAGACGGCATGCCGCTCTTACACCAAATCCTGATTAGATAAAGAGCTTACTGGATGCACTTGCTCTTCGCACTGCAGTAGGAGTCCAGTTCACTTTAGCACAGCAAGATAATGTGAAAAACTCTCCTTAATTCACAGGACTGGGTCTCACGACTGCACGTAGCATTCAGTTACTGAACTGGCATTCAACAGAGAACTAACATGTTTTCCTAAGCACCCTAATAATGAAATTAGTTTCTTTCTGTAAGAAGAGCAGTTGCTACTTGCAGCGGTAAGTCTTCATACTTATCTTCACACACGCAGCCACCTTTCAAAGGAACAACGACTGATGTGCCCAGAGGCACGAGTTCACTGCTCCAGCACACGACAAAAGGCAAAGCACGTAGCAAGGCTTTCTACAGGGGCAGAGTTAAGGTCACTTGTTTCCCGGCATGAGAAAAGCAACCCCGTAGCCCTCCTCCTGCTCCTCCTGGGTGCCTAATCGTGAACAGGGCTTTCCCTGGGTCCCTCCCAACTCCCTTTGTTTTAATTTCCTCCACCTCAACATCTTGGAGGACCATACGCGGCCAGAGCAAAACCAGCCACCTACAACTTTAACTTCGCTTTATCTGGACTGTTTTGCCCGGGAGCAGAGTTTCACCGGCTTTGCCAAGCCCAGCTTTAAGAAAACACAACTGGAGAGCACTGTGAACTTCAGCAGACCCTTCTAATTCCCAGACGTGTCTCTTACTGAGCCTGGACAAAAAGTTTTTCTGCAGGAAAACCCCTCCTGCTTCCCACCACTTTTTTCTCCTCCTAGTTCCCAGAGCCAGGAGTGCACAGAAAAACACAAATGAAGACAATGAACCTCTCAGGCCTGCCAGCCTGGGCAGATACTTTACCGAAGCCACAAAAATTAGAGAAGACAGATGTATTTACCTGTTTCGATGTCATCTATTGAACCCAATCCATTGGAAGTGGTCTGCAAAGAGGGTGTAGGAAAGTGGAGAGAATAATATCACCAGAAATTCATCTTTAAAAAGATATTCACACCTCACAGATGAGACTCTTTACTACTCCTAAGTGCATCTGGCCCTTTCTTTTCCTTTATGGCCTCTTTCAGTGCAAGAGCAGTAAAACCAATGAACTTTAAGAGGCCATTAATCCAGAGAGCCTGTTTCTTTTTACCTCCAGCAGTGGACAAACCCTGTTGCTGCAAAAGAATACCAGCCCTGGACAATATCCGACCATGTGAGCAAATCTGTACATAGAATAGGGTTTTTCATGTGTGGATGAGAACGCCGTGTCCCAAGTCCTAGCATACATCAATCGGTCAGCCCCATGCAGTGCGAGATCCGATTAGCCTGATCTTACACAACGACCCTTTTCTTAGTTCACATATTTTGTAATCTCACAACCACAAACTTTTACAGCAAACACAAAATAGGAAGAGGTTTCCGCCAAGACAACTGCTGACTTGGAGCTCCAGGCAAGGAATAAAACAAGCCCATATTTTACAGAAAAATAAACAGAGGTAGGTATGCGTGCCTTCATCTTATGCTTAAAAAGGCACAAGTAAACCATTACTCCCGAGATGCTGCATTTACTGCGATTGTTCTTGCAACTTCTAGTTTTTGCGCTATTTTCATCTCTTGCAAAAGGAAAGATTTTCAAATGAAAAACTAGGCATGACTATTAAAGAAAGCTGACTGGCTTTTCTAGAAAAATGTGAAGGCAAGTCACTGAATGGTGGGAGGTAAACTAAATCTCGTTGTACCAAATGACAATTTTTATGGGTTTATAGTTTGTTTGTTTTAAAAAGAGTAGTGTGAAGTACCAAATAGCCTGTGATAAGAGCGAGTGTTTGGGGTTTTTTTTTGCCCAGTGGCGGAACAAGGAAATCAGCAATTTCTTATATTTTAGCTTAGTTATTTGTACAGTGCCCTGCCCAAGCTGAATCTCCCAGGTGACAAGAGAATACAAAGAATACATAAACTGTGTATGTACCTTGCTCAGTACATCGCATGATTTAATTCTGTATGTTTCTGCAGCAGTTGTACTCTCTTTTACGTAGTGTTGCCCTAACTATGTAAAAACTTGAAAACTAAAACATATTTAAAATGCAAGAGAAAGCAAACATTCACAATAACTAAGAGAAATAACCATCTTCAGTGATCTAACTACTGACACCAAAAATGTTGTCACTAGAAATATTTTCAAATAAATTAATTTCCTCGGCAATATTCCTTGAAAGCGGAAAACACTATTTCATACATTTAAAAGAGTTATAAATTTGCATGTAAATAAACCTGCGAAGCATTCTAGTAGCACAATCCACGAACAGTAATAATCACAGGATGCAAACTCTACCTGGTTTGACAAATTGATTGATGTGCCATTGCTGAGTAGCGAGATCCTGCTGCAAGGAAGAGAAAGGTCTTAGAACAGAGACAGCCCACGAATTCTCGTAAACGACGTAAAGCAGGGTTACAATATCGTTTCCTTCCAGGCACTGCCCATAAATAAAAGCCACCCCAACAGACACACCACTGCAACACAAGAGTACAGTTTTCTGAACACTGAAAAGGGCCATATATTTGTTCTGGACACCTCAGTGCAAAACACCCAACATCCAACACACAATCAGGAAGCAAAAAACTTCCCTAAGGAACAGAAGTTTCTGTCTTTTCATTAAGACATTACTGTTTTGGGAAGGCATTACAGCACTGGAATGAAAGCTGGAAACAACACAGGAGATAGCAAAGTGTTATCAAAATACTGATCGCTACATTTCACAGATTAAAAAGCATTTTGGAATTTTTCATTTTTATTTTTCTAACATACAGGTGGTTTAAGCCCATCAGAGCTGAGTAACACGACAGCAGCCAAAAGGCAGCAAGGCCAACACAGTGAGCAGCTACAAAAAGTATTTCTGCGTAAAACTTCCCATTCTTTGAGACAGAATCATTTTGGAGCATTGAGAGCTGCTACAACGTCAAGGGGTTTTTTGGGGTAGGCCACCCACATATGAGGTTGGTCAGGCTGTTGAACACATAACTGCGCATGAGGCCAAGGATGTGAATGCAAACGTAAGCCTCGACTACTAGCTGGTGTTCCCTACTCCTCAAAACGCATCCTGGGATTTTAGGTGACCAAGGCAGCTCCATCCAAGGGTGGAAGCAGTGGCCTAACGCTCTCCAGCTCCATCCCTGGGTACACATTAAACACCAGTGGAACTCCAGTTACTGCACCGCTTTCTTGTAGAGCCAGGTTACCGATCCAGCCACCGACGTCAATTAACTGGACCCACGACTCACTTTTTGCTGCCTTCCCTCCTAGCATCTGACCAGATGTGTACCTGTTGTTCTCCCAAAGCATAGCCCTTTCCTGCGCCACAAAGAAGGCGTACGCCCAGATACGGGGCAGGAACCCTTCGTGACCCATCACGCTACAAAACCAGTCATGTCTCCAGTGTAGCAGAGGATCCCACCCTTCTCATCTCGTAATAGGGAAAGGACCGTGATGTAGCCTGATCCCAAAGGAGATTTTGCATGTCCCTCTCCTCTCAAAAACACCGGCTCCCAGCACATCAGAGGCATGTACTGCAGCACCAGCCCAGCTCTGCCTGGCTTAGCTGGGGACTCAGGAAACATCTTGGCAGTAGACACAGAGCAGCAATGGGGTTAGAAATGATCAAGACAAAGTGATCGGAGGGTCAGGACAAGGAGGGTGGCCAGCAGCCTGCTAGAGGGGTTGCAGGGTAGTGTATGTGTGTCTATAACAGCACCTACCATGTCTGCAAAAAGTAAATCTGAAAGAGCCAAAGGATAGCCTCTAAGAAAAAAGAAGTCATACCTGAGGTCTTTTGTATGCTTTTCGAACCCTCAGTCCCAGCTTCTGGGCAAGCTCCTGTCCCAGTTGCGTGACGCTTTCATCCTGGGGACAAAACCATTGGCAGGACACTTTAAGTTTTGCCTTTGTGGCACACACAATGCAATAACCGGGAACGCAGTTACCCACTCTGGGCTGCGCCAAGAAACTCTCCTGAAACTGTCCCCACACCCTCCAGAGACCTCTCTTGGTCAAATCTCATAGTCGCTGCTCCCTCCTCACTTTCTTCCACCTCCCAGATCTTTCTAACACCAATCACGTTTTCAGTGCTCTGTTTGCCTCTGGTGATTCTGCCTTTCCAAACACTCTCTCAGGTGTCTCTGAAGTCTGCCATTTTATTGCTCCCTGCGGAAAATTCACCAGAAAGACTTGTGACATTGTTTCTTTTCATTGATCTCATACTCATACCTACCAGGTTTACCCTAACCAACTCCAAATGCCAACATAACTCTGAGATGTCTTCTCAGATTCCTGGACAAAATCAAGAATGTATTTCTTTCTAGGCTGCCTCCACTTCCCTTCCCAACAATACATAGTTATTATTGTCCTTTTTGTCAGCAGGCTTGAAGTTTGGAGGTGGGGCATTATTTGCTCTTTGCCACCCCCAAGATCTTCCTGTAGCTTTTCCTTCCGTCAGCGAAACGCCACCCTCGGGCGTTTACTACCTCCCACCTAAATGAGCAGACGCTCAACAAGGGCATGCAGTATGTTCTCTTCCAACACCCTAAAAAACCCCATGCCATACCAAAAAAACATACCACAGAGGAGTATCAACTTCACCATGCCGGGAACCTCTGCAAACTAGCAGCACTGAGTATCTGAACCCAGAAACAGGTTAACTCCGCTAGATAGTGAGTCAACCGTGTGGCAGATCCTTCATCACTGGAAGTTTTAATATGTGCTCTGCTTTGACCACAACAAAGTTCTCAGCTGTTACAGCAATGCAAGCTGGAAGTACCCATGTGCTCCAGAGTGCAATGGAAACAAGAGTGAGATGATGGATAGCATGACTTGCCTTTGACGCACAGAAGGCTCGTGATTTCTGTCTATCAGGTAATAAGGCAATGGGGCACGTTAATTTACAAGACTGAATTGTTTAGAACAGGGAATGCAGATCACTCGATATGGGGTTTGTAAGGCCGAACTCTCCTGCCACGGAGAAGTTCGATAAAGTGTTTGTAAACCACAATGATTGTAATGATAATAATGGGACACACATAAACGTAAGTATATGGTTAAAAAAGAAATTCAATTAAGTGGCTCAACTGCAATGTGAAATCTAGCCAGATATGGCTTTACATGAACACATATATTAGATGACTTTGTTTATAAAAGTGTTTATTTAAAACCAGTTCTTTGGAACCCCCCTTGGAACATGAGACCTTTAATACGTTCGGTCACCCTGTTCTGTCAAGTCAAAGAAACTAGAATTTCCTACTATTCAAAAGGAATAACTAACTGCTATCAAGGCTTTCAAAGATTGCTTCTGTAACGTTAATAAAGAAAAGTTAATTTCTCCTGTTGAAGTAGATGCATTTTTCTTGTAGATGCATTACTGTGATGGATCAGAACCAAATTTAGCAAAGACACCCAGTGCTCACTAGAATCTACCTAATCACAGTCTGGTTTCCTGTTCAATATTCGGCCTAAAAGGACACTCAACAAAAGCACTGTCAGGAAAATATCTAGGGCCTAGTATATGCAGATAGTTACCTCTGAATGCAAAAATGTACACACTTGTGAACGTAAAAATAACTATGACGTGGGATGTCAAGGACATCTTTGCATGTCCCTCAAGAAATAAAAAGATTTATCAGCTTGCCTTAGCAATCAGTAAGCAAAAACTGAGACATTTTTATCTAAAACATGAAAAGTATACATGTTTTCCTTCCAGTGCGCCAGTTCCCATTTGTCCCATGCTCCTAGTCACTCCCATTAGACATATAAAACCAGTTAATTAAAACAATCTCATGGCCTTAGTTCCCCTTTTGTTAGGGTAGGGTTTTGTTCTTCACAAATAGGTCACCAAACCTGCTGTCACTAACCGGTCTCTCTGACTGGCACTATCTGCAAAGGGTGACTTGGACTGAAGAAACACAGGAGGTCGAACGTCTTCTTCGAGTCAGAGAGACAGAATTTCTGGACATAAGTATGTTCCCAGGAACAGCCAAGCTTCCTCTTCCACTGTCCTCTGGCCTCACACTAAGCATGTTACAGAGGAAGGAAGGTGGTGAGCTCAAGATGAGTTGTATGCCAACAACTTACATGTGGGAGGGACAGCAAGCATCGGCTATTGCACTCATAGGCTTCTTTGTGTCTTCCAAGTTCATTTAAGGAGCGGGTGCTCGGATGTTCTCCTTGTCAAGACTTAAAGCCTTCTCGCTGTCTTCCAGTGCCTTCTCATACAAGCCCTGCATGGAAGAGACCACCTCGTGTTAGCTGAGGCACAGCAGACTAACCCGTCCTTCTGTGCGAATGCTAACATTTTATCTCTCAGCAGAAAACAGGAATATAAAAGGCAGTTGGAAATACATGTATTACCTCATATACAGACCAGCGTACAAACACACAAAACCTACAGTAACAGAACATTTTGTTAAGTCTTGCAAAACTCAGAACACTTCAAAGTCAGTGAATGCCAGGATTAAGGCTGCTTGAGCAACCTTATCTTGTCTCCCCCTCTACGTTGGGCATGTTACGTTTGACAGTCTTTAATTATGTGACTGCTTGCTAATCTTTTTTGCGGGACTCAGCCTCATTACAAACAGGACAGACCTGCTCTGGGGTTGTGCCATAAAGGAAAGTTGTTAGACTCCTTAGGAAAACGGAAGCACGAAGCCTTTTAGAGCCTGAGCATTTGAGAATCCTTTTCCACGTGTGTGCTGACAGTTCCATCATGACCCAAAGCCTTCTCACTGCCTTCCAGCGCCTCATTTGAGGAGACAGGAGCCTCCAGAGCAATACTCAAACAGTATTCCAGAGAAACACTCAGTCAATACTGGAAGGCACTGGACGGTACTAACTCCCCACCAACATGGACCAGAACTCCATTGTCAGCACCTTAGGCCTGGCCCCCTCTTCTTCACATCCTTCCTTTGGTCTTGCAAGACACAGTGCGATAGCGGGGAGATATCAGAGTTTTCTGTGTGTCATCACCTCCTCCAGTGTTGGAACAGGGAGCGGACAAAACCAACTGAAACCCCTCTTGACATCTTTTCCAACTGAATGGCACTGCAACCATGATGTCATCCCTGGCCCTGGGAATGACCTGGGAAGGCACTCACCATGGCAAAGTAGCAGGCAGCTCGGTTGACATGCAGCTTGCACAGGAGTTCCTTTGGGATGGTCACCTCGTCGGAGGCTGCGTAATCCGCCACGTTCAGCCCTTCTACATACTGTACCAGCGAAAGCTTGAAATCCTTCTCTCGAAACAAATCATTTCCTTCTGCAAACAGGTTTCTCACCAGCTTCTGCAAAAAGGCCTGGGCAGCAGGGAGAGAGCAAATAGACCGAAGCGGATATTCAGAGATAGGAGAGGTTTCCCAACTTCCCATTCCTTTCCATATGTTTTCGCAAACTTGCTGCCCGCTAAGATCCTCCTGCCTCCCCATCCTCCTGTAAAACCTCAGTCTTTTGGTAGAGGAGAATAATCCAGTCAAATCTCCTTTCTTCTTGAACATTCAAGTGTCTCCTCCTTTCCCTGAAAGTTGTCATTGTCAGAACTTTAAAACTTTTAAGTTACAGACAAATTGTGACAGACCATCCCACGCTCTCCACTTTTGGTATGTAAACTAATGCCTGTGCAACAGAACAAATCTTGCTAACCAGAGGGGTCCCAATTTTAGAAAATAAATTCTCCATTACCTCATAATCTTCTTGGCTTAGGGGTAATGTGGACCTGAAAAAAAGAGAAAATGCTCATAAAACAGGCATCCATGCAAACAAGGGCTTTTGTCTGATGAAGAAAATCATTTTTCTGGTCCTGTATTGATGATCTCAGTGAGTTACTGAACATTTTATCACTTCAAAGGCAGCTGGGGCAAAGGGAACACAATTAGGGAGCTTTACGCTCAGTGATGGCCACAGCAGTGTCAAGAGACGGTCAGGTCCCAAAGGGATTTGAGACTAGAGGAATCTTATTCTCAGCTATTTTCTGTGCCTACACGATCCTAACATGCCTTCACACAGCTACCTAAAAAAAAAAACATCTTTGAGAAAGTCCCATGAGAGATTGCCATGAAGAATACAAGTGTATTTTAAGTGCACCTGGCTCTAACGAGAGGCACCAGACTGGCACCCCAAGACCTCCTCAAATCCTTCGTGAGACCAAAGACATATGGTGATAAATGCAATCACTTTCCTCTGTGTTAACTTAGTCACAGCCTTTAGGCCTATACCACAAAAGGAAGGGAGAAAACAATGCAGGTTGGGGAGGCCACCTAGCTCCAGCCGTGCCAAGGCTGTGCCACAAAACTGGCAGCGCTTGCGTGGGTAACACCGACCCCACACCAGCACTGAGACGTAGCAGAAAAGTTCCATTCTTCACATCGGACCATCCAAGTCATCCAGGCTTGGTCCACATATATTTATTTTTTCTCTTCAAGGATAAAACAATAGGCTCTAGAGAAATCCTTAGCACCTTTCGTAGCCTTCACCTTTGAAATACAACATTGCACACATGCTCTTATTGGTCAGAGAATAATTTTTTTTTTTTAGATTTCATCTAATCTAATCATCATCTGCTCCTTAAAATTAAGTACAGGAAATGCCACGGCTTTGTAAGAAACATTCATGCTGCTTATAAAATTGGACTACCTCTTTCACGTCAAAACAAGCCAATAAACAGCACTGCCCCCGGTTCAGAGTTCAAGATACACCCCAGAAGCATGAACAACACCCCGTATTTCTAAATTACTATCTTTCCAGGAAACTTTTGCATTTTTATAAATGTTACAAAAATAAACCTCACAATTGCCTCTCTGAAACTGGGTTATCAGCCCCATTTAGTCTCAGACTCCAGCGAAAATATCATTGCCATGCCACAGGATATAAATATGTAACATGGAAGATTCGGCTTTTTTTCCTGTTGTAGATGCACAGATTTCAGCCACCAACTGCAGGACTCAAAGCAGACTCTAAAAACACCCCAAAACGATCTGATTACAATCTCGCTACTTCCTTACTCACCATGGAACCTGGCCCTGAGTCTGAGGTCTTTGCTAACTCAAACATTGGAGGGAAAAAAACACTACTGTACTTTATAAGGAAGTATTTGGACTTGTAACTACTACATGAGCAACCACTTCAAGCTCTAGAAGGCCACATGATATTCATGGAAGAGTGACCTGAGGCACCTACCAGGCTGGCAACTGTAAGAGAGCCCAGGTCACCTATTTCTCCTACAGGCACCATACGGGGTACCTGACAAGTCATTTACCTTGCTTTCCCCACTTGCAAAATAGAAACACTACAAACACTACCTCCCTTCCTAAGAAAGGTGGGATAACCTTGTTGAGAGAGCCCTTTGAGATCTTCACGCTGAAGATGAAGTAGAAGGTCCAAGTACTATTAGCATTATGCTGACTATAGAGATCATCCTCGAGCTGTAATGGAGGGCAAAACCCAAGGAAATTAAAATGACAGAATTTCAAGTTCAGAGAGCTGGCAGGAGAAGCAGCACCCTGAAGAATTACAGTGAAAATCCTCAGGACCAATATCTCTTTCCCATGCAGCAGACCCAAAGCAGTGAATAGGAAGAACTCGGTTCCTGCAATCCTCGATCCGAAGACAACCACCTCCAAAGCCACAGGAAACAATGAGGTTATCCACTTACTGAATGAACTGAAGTCCTTTCTCTATTTCTTGTTTTCTCTTCTGTCTCTCCATTATAGTTGCTGCAGAGGAAGAAGAAAAAGAAACAACACAAAATGAGTCATTTTAGGTCTTGCTGGCAATTAAGCAGCACAGTATTTTGTGTGTGCCTGAATTTACTACTAACAAAATGTTCCAGACCAGATGCCCTGAACACCGAAGTCCCTGATTTATCCACACTGCAGATACAGAATGGCAAGCAGCCCACTACCAAGTATCTGCTTTTTCTCACATGCCACTGCCAGGATACATGGGCAAAGAGGAATGACTTCAATGTGAGCTCTCTACTCAGGCTGCCAGTAAACAAAGCAATGGGAACCAACCGCTATCGTGACTGCCTTCTAGGAAAGAAAAAAAAAAAAGAAATCATCAACATTTCCCCAGTCACTTCAGGAATTTATGGCAGGACCCTCCCATGATAAGCAATTCTGACCACTATTTGTCTGGGGCAGATTTAAGCTGGTTTACCGCATAGTATACGAAACAAGTAAACTATGTAAGGTTTATGGAGGTATGCCACAAAGAAAGACGCGAAGGAAGCAGACAGAATTTCTTGCTGTGGTCCACGTAAAAGGACAGCAATGAATCTATGCAATGGGAATTTCATGCTGAAAATCAGCAGGCAAGAGCAGCACAGATTTGGGAATGCTCCTCTGGAGAGGGAACAGGGTCTCATCCTGCAGTGTTTTAAATTGGGGTGGGCAGCACCTGAGGAGGGCTCGAGAGTTATCCCCACTTAGTCAGGGACACAAATGCGGACAGTAACTTGGCCGGGTTTGACCAAATCCAGCCTGGGTCTCTGCAAGCACAGACAAATAAGTAGTATGATGGAGCTATTTTGGAGTAATGTCCCTTTTCTCAACTAAAATGGGCTTGAATCACACCACTAGATACACGAGCTTCATCCACTGCAGTCTGGAAGCAAATCTTGGAATGGCTCCTGCTTGACCTCTCCCCAAGGTACACAGGTCTGCCACACAAGAAAAGAATAAAGAAGGGGAGAAGGGATGGCACTTTGTGGCAAAAGAGAGTTCCTGGCGACAGGGAATTTCCCAGCCTTGCCATCAACCAGCTGTGATCACAAACAATGCTCAGCCTTTGAGGAATGGTAACTCGGGGACAAAGGTAGCAAGCACAGAAACACTGAGATGAGATGGGATGGAGCTGAAGACACTGGCCCTTCCCAGCCTGGGATCGCCTCTGAAGAGATCACGAGAAAAACAAAAGTAATTTCTCTAACTCTACGCTACGGCAGTTTGGAGAGCATTATCACTCAGCTCCCTTTTACATTAAGACCATCCCTATCATTCTAAGGTATTTTACGGTATCTATGGCACGTTCAGTCTGGAACAGGGTGAAGGGACCTTTAAGGTACGTGAAAATCAATCCTCGCAACTCAGCAAGCCCTTATTGATTGTGCTCTGCACCATGCAAAATGTAGAAGAATTGATACTTGCCCTTTACCAAGAAGGAGAGCTGGGGAAAGAGGGAAAGGCAGGAGTGAAAGACCAGAAAGAAGTGGTAGCAGAAGGAAGCAAGAGCTTGAAAATGACACTGTGCAGTTTGTAAGTCATCAGACATTAAATCTGAGAGCAATCTGGTCCGAGCAGCAGGTAGATTTTGAGCAACTGCATTTGGAACGGGATGGGCAGTGCAGCAAGAAAGGGAAAGCCAACAGACAAAGTGAGTGATGATCAGCATCTCTACAAGGGCTTTTAACAGAAGCGATGGAGAATAGCAGGCAGACTTCAGTACAACACCAACAGAAGGCCTGGAATGATTTATAAATAGCCTGGATAATGAGCAATCAGGAAGAAAGAAGGAAATTTAACAAGGAGACTGTGAGGTTAATATGCTCGCTAACGCTACAGGCAGACAAGCTTGAGGGGTAAAAAAAAGAGACAGAGGCAATTCATTTGACGTTTCTCCTTGTATAAAATTCTGCAAAGACAGAGGAAGTATGAGAGAACAGAGAAGGTGAAAAGGAGCAATAGGAACCATTTCCACATAGACAGCAGTGAAAGCCACAAAAGAGGACAGAGCAACTCCAGAGCACCGGAGGAAAACTGCGAGGGCCATCAGAGACAAGGGTGGGGCAAGAGCCACCCCTGGAAACGACGAGAGATAAAAAGAGTCAAGGCTCACAAAGGCTCACGGAGGAAAGCAGAGGGAGAAAGGAGGAATTTCTAGCTGTCTGGTCCCTGAGTGCACTAACAGGCTTGAAATGCCCCGAACAGTCTCACCTTGGACGCCCACCCACACACCCTCTGCCCGCGGTCCAGGAGCTCCATTTCAGCTCAGGTCCAGGCATACTGCCTTGTCTGAGCTATACTGTAGGTGGACCTGTCCTCAGTCCTATCTCCTGGACAAACCTTGGACCTACACTGTAGGCAACTTGTCTCCAGTCCTGTCTCTGGCACCACCTCCTACCACCGCTGGACTTGCTGCGGGGACTCTGGACCCGATTCACCACCTCATCTTCTTTGGGATCGCTGATGGACCCGTGCTATCAGCATCTTGTTCTGCCTGCGCTGTTCAGATATGGTGGGATGGTATCCCAGTTAGTGAGGGCACTGCTGGTGGCTCTCATCACCTTCGGCTCCTAGCTTGTCCTCCCTGGAGGAGCAGCCCTGCTCTTGCTGCTCCCTGACATGAGCCACGCTGGAGAGAACAAAAGCCAGGGAAGTGAAGCGGTAGACCACAGATCGGATGAAAAGGGAGATTATTGGCGACTGCGGGAAGAGCAGTTCAACGCTGGCTGGTCATCACAAAGTCAATGGCTGCACTCCAAAAATGCTGCGGCACACCTTTACAATTGTGCGTAGCCACAAAACAGATCATCACCTTGAAAAGCTTCTGATACGCACAGCCTGCTTCAACCTCTGCTTCTGAGCTCAGCTTTTAAAACACTACTGCATGGCACGAAGAAGAGATCAGTACCTGTTCCCATGGCTACCCTGACCCCACCGCTAAAACATCCTACACAGCAGGATGTGGGCATGTGTTACAACGAGAACTGGTTACCGTCGCTTGCCCACAGAGAAGGGCATTCAAACATCACTGACCAAAGGCTGGAGTGGAGCCAAAGGACTACAGGGAAAGGCTCCAGAATGTCTCCTTCCTAGAGTTATCCAACTCTTCTTGTATCTTGGAGCTCCCCTTCTGTTTTTTCTCTCCTCACCATCATTGCCACGACATCCAACATGCGTATCTCCATCCCTGCTTCACGTGGATGGCTGACCAACCTACTGCACCTCTGGAGGTCCCACAATACCCAGCTACAGCTTTGATCCTCGCTACAAGCCCTCATAAAAAACCTTCTTTGCACCTTGCATGCTGTTTACTCTCCGCAGCCCTACCCTCGTCTTCCACAACGAACGTTCGCCAACTCCAGTCCCTCCATCGCCTTCTTCAGACATAAACCACAGGCCTGATCTCCCCTCCCGACTGTCACTCCCTGATACTGCCCCACATTCCTCTCTCCTTGCAAGTACGTGACCAGTTTCCTCTGCTAAAGCTCCATCACGCCTTCAGGCTTATGTCACGACTTTGCACATAAGACTCATCTCCTCATGGCAACACCCTCAAAACACATACCACATGCTGCTGCCCTAACAACTCCTTTCACATCTCTCAGGAACAACCACCTTTCCCTTTCGATCTGATTCCACACCGGCACACTCCTCCATGCGTGGCAGACCTCTCCTCTGTCCCGCCTGCCTCACCACCGCTGGGGGCTACCATTCGGACTCCTCTTTTTGCTATTCATGCCTCCTCCCCTGCCACCTCCCCAGCAAACTCAGTCGCTTCTGTCTCACCTCATCCTTCCAGCCTCTTTGCCATCAACCCTCAGACCAAGCCACACACCCGTTACGCTGGCAAACCCAACACACAGCGAGTCATCCATACGTGCAACATTTCAGTTCTGCTGCGCACCGTGCCATGGCCGGTGCATAACTAATTGTAAGCGCAGAGCCTGTTTAACTTTTGTTTTCTCAGTCTTTTAAATAATTTTAGAAGCACAGCGGGTAACGCTTCATGAAGCAGTGTGCCTAAGCGTCCTTTTTTTTCCCCCCCACCAAATCACTAGCAGAATTTGAATCCAGAGTATTTATATCCCCACTACAAAGCTGTTATCCTTTCAGTCCGGAGACGTTTATCCTCTCTGGTCCAGTATCTAGAGAAGACTTTATTTCGAGTTTGTCAATGAGTTACAAACTATTTGCCAGACAGAAATAAAATGCTGCAGACAGGCAAAACGGTTTTCTTGCCTTCAAAAGGAAGCACGAGCCAGTGAACAGGGTGACTCAATCACAAACTGCGTAGATACGCTCTATGAGACACTACGAGATGAACAGCAAGATGTGAATTTACCTTATCAAGAACCTGGGTGTCATTCCCAACCCTGCCAGAGCTGAATTTGGCCAAAGTTTTTCGTACTATATTTCTGGGATGGCAATGAGTTCACACTTGACCGACTTCCAGGCTTTGACTGTAACATTTCAGCCAGAAATAAGTGCACCGAGACGCAAGTGGCAGGTTGTAGAGCTGAGATAGGAGCTCAGCCCCAGGCTGTCTGCGCTCTCCTCCAGGCAGAAGGCTCCGGGATGCGCTAGTCTGCAACATGGAGTCTCACCGGCTGCAGTTTGGCCACCTCAGTGGTACAGCAGAACGGGTTACTGGACTCACGTCAAGCAGAGGAAAAGCCACACAGCCCACTACAAACGTGCTCTCGCGGCTGCTCTCTGCCATGCCCCACTCCCTGGGTTTGAATGCTTCTCACAGCCAACATCTCTCAGAGTCCCCACCACCATGCTGTACCCACCAGGTCGGACAACCCTGTCCCTCCGCGCACCGGCCACCCCAAGGTACCTCCGTGGCCATCCTCCCACACCCCGGCACCCCGCCAGTCCCACTCTTGCCCCGTGGCATCACTGGGGTGGCTGTCATCGGGGTGCCACCAGCTTCACTCAGCAATACCTCCAGTGAATGCAGGGAGGGGTGGCGACAACCCC